TACATCGGCTCAGGGGAAGGGTCGCAGGCTGTGAGGGCGACCGCTGGTATATCCCCACCGCTCTGCCAGTGGTGGCCGCGAGCAGATGCTGGGAAAGAGCAGAACAGGATGAGCCTGGACGGCGACCTCTTGCATCCTCCTGTTTTCAGCTCGGGGCATTTCCTGAGCCTGTTGAGATTTATCTCCTAATCAATCCCTTCCTCCAACACTCATCCAGGTCCCAGGGTGATTTCCCCCTGGAAAAGCAGCAGCCCCTGCTGGGGGAGGTGATCTGTTGACTGCAGCCCCCACACTCTGTCTTTGATGTCCCAGCAGCTCTGGGCTGGGAGGGGGTGGACACACAAGGGAAAATGCCGCCAAATCCAGCAGAGCCTTGGGTTCCCGCATGCCACACAGTCTGCAGCGAACTCCCTGCTCCAGCACCCTGCTGCTCCTCCCAGCCAAGGGAAGTGCGAATGGGGAAAATCATGGCCACAACACACTTCCAGGCTAAATACAGCACCCTGCGATGCAAAACTGCAGCGCGTACAAACAACAGAGGAGGAGTTGCAAGCGCGTGAGAGCAGAGCTTATAACATCAGACTATAGCTGCCAGCAGTTCCCTTTGTAAGATCTTGTTTCCAATTGCTTGTTGTTAGATTTCAGCTCTTCAGGCCAAACTTTAACAAGCTGAAAGTCTATCTCCAGTGAAACTTTGAGAAAAAAGTTCAGCTAAGCAGTTCAGCCAGTTCTGAAAACAGAGCTAAGAAGTAGGTTGCTCTGCCTGCACTCAGTGATCCTGGCAGCCTTTCCTTGGAGAAGCAGTGCTTTTATCAGGATGTTCTTTTTGCTGTTCCTGTGAGCAGCAGAAAACTTGCATCTGACCAAGGCGGGCGCCTTGCACATGCTCTGTGCAAACTCGGTAGGGTTTCAGGATTAAGGTCTCTGTGGTCCTGGCTGCTCTGAGCATGCTCCATCCTGGGGCTGAGCAGCGTTTCCCGGGACGCCTGATTGGAATGGCAATTCCTGTCTCAAAGTGTTGCTGTGCTGTGGCA